TAGTCGTTAAGGTTCAAGGAGAGATTCAATGGAGAAGAAGAAGAGATGGGACGTCGAAAAGATTCAAGCAAAAAAGCTGCTGCTCTGCGAGCTGGACACTGTAGTCTCCTACTTCAGTCCCATCCGCCCCCAACGGAGTTACATAATTCCAACGTGCAAAACGGATACATACTTTTTAAATTTAGTTTGTTTACAAGTTGTCTAACAAATAATTTACATATTTTAAAACTATTTAAAAAATATTACTCCCTCCATTTCTTAAAACCCTTCCTCTTTTGTTTTTTTTGTTTTTCTCAAAACACTTCCCTTTTCTATTAAAAAACCACTTTTACCCCTACTTTTTCATACCCTACCTATCACATCATACTTTTTCACTAACAACTAAACTATCACATCTTACTTTTACCCATCACATCAGGGGCAAAATTGGAAAGTCAACTAAAATTACACTTTTCTTATTTTTCCCCAAAGTCAAAAGAGGAACCGTTTTGAGAAACGGAGGGAGTACAAAATAAATGTCGATAAAAATACGAGTATTTTATTTTATCAAATTTCAATAATACCGTGAATTTAAATAAAAATTATTGAGTGACCAGAAAATACTCCGCGGTAATTACGTACTACCTCTGTTCCAGTATATTTGTCCAGTTGACTTTTTCGAGTCAAACTGGATAAACTGTGAATTCCAATTACTCTTAATTTGTATTGCATACTAGCATAATGAAATACAATTTTTAAAGTTCTCAATACAATAAATTCAATACATTCATTTTCATGTAAAATATATTGATGTTTTTATTTAATTGAAGCTCAAAGTTTATGCAAAGTCAAACTGGACAAATACACTGGGACGGATGGAGTAATACGTAATTTTAGGATATACACCATCCGTCCCCAATTTGATTACAAATTGCGGGTTACGGAGTGAAATTTTTTACTTTTTGAAATCATTTTATTTACAAATTGGTGTATCAATAAGATATAAAAATTACATATTAAAAAAACTACGTCAAAAGTTCTACAAAACAAGAGGTGACAAGAATATTTTATTTTATCAAATACTTAATGAAATCGCGTAAACAAACAAAAGTTATCGAGAGAAAAGAAAAAAAAATTATAATCTATTTAGGGACGGAGGGAGTAGTATATTGAATCCATTTTCCCCATATTTTTTTTCAAAAAAGTAAACTCCCTCAGCTAAAGATGCAAAAATTCTAAATCACATAAAGCGAAAACAAGTTCAAGTGCGAGTACGCGAAAGTATTGAAATATAAAGGAAAAATTACCCAAAATAATCCCAACTTTACACGGTCTTTCAAAAATAATCGCATCTTTCACTGTGATGCATAATAATCCCAACTTTATTGAAATTTGCCAATTTTGGGTCGCTGTTAAGTTTCTAACGGAGGGTTAACGAAAATGTCCGTTTTAGACAACAAAATGAAAGTTGGGATTATTTTTGATGAATTTTTATTTTTTAATTTTTTTTGAAATATTTATTTAAATTTTTTGAATCACTTTCAACCTCCATTTCTTTTTCTTTTTTAAAGATTATTCTTACCTTAGAAAAAAAATAGATATAAAAATAATGAAAATGACAAAAATAACTAAAACAGTACAAATTAATCAAATAAATAATGTAATCAATAGAAATTAAACAGAAACTGGTAAGAAATAAAATAAATATATACGGAGTGGTGGATTTTAACATTTTACACACTATACAAAGTCTTAATATACTACTTATTTTTTAAAAGAACAAGCCGTCCGGTAAAATTGGAATTATTGTAGATAATTTTTTTCTAAAAAAATAAGTAGTGATATATTAATACTTTGTATAATACGTAAAATATTAAAATCCACCCGTATATTTTTATTTTACTCTTACCAATTTCAAGTTAGTTTCCATTGATTACCTTATTATTTTATTATTTTTGTATCATTTTAGTTACATTTCTAATTTTTTTATTTTTTATATCTATTATTTTTATTTTTTAAACTAAGACTAATCTTTAAAAAAGGAAAAAGAAATGATGATGGAGGTAGAAAGTAATTTAAAAAATTTAAATAAAAAATTAAAAAAATGAAAAAAATGAAAATTCATCAAAAATAATCCCAACTTTCATTTTGTTGCCCAAAACGGGCATTTCCGTTAACCCTCCGTTAGAAACTTAACGGCGACCCAAAATTGGCAAATTTCAGTAAAGTTGGGATTATTATGCATCACAGTGAAATGTGGGATTATTTTTGAAAGACCAGGTAAAGTTGGAATTATTTTGGGTAATTTTTTCAAATATAAAAAAGCTTGAATGCGGGTGCGCCTTAATACGTCAATTTTAAAAATAAAAAAGCATTTTTTTAATAGTAAAAATACCCGATTCGAACAAAATATATCATGTATCCGGTCATTTCCTTGAACTTTAAATTCCTATTCTTTTTAATTGTCAACTTAAAAAGATAGTCATGCACAATTTATACATACGACATACGGAGTGAGTCATAAGGAGAGAATTTAAAACCACTACAATCTTAGACATTTAGATATAAAACATTATTGACATATAATTTCAAGAGAGTAAAAAATTATATAAAAAAAAATTAAGCAAAACAAATTATATGAAATTTTAAACATGGAAAAAAGAAAAGAAATAACTCTTATAGAAAATGTAAAATTAAAAATAAAATCAAATTCTAGTTTCTTACTACCACGGGTATTATATACTCCGTATATTTCTTTTAAAAAGAACAAATACTTTAAGGTAGTGTTTGGGAATTGGATTTCATTTGAAATATTAGATTTCAATTCTAAGATTTGAAATTTCATAATTTCAAATTTCAAATGTTGTTTGGGAAGTTATAGAATTTCAATTTAGAATTTGAATTTTGAAGTCGGCAAAGATGATAACGAAAGTGGGTTGATATGTATGCAATTGTTATTATATAAGGGGAGATCAATTTTTAATTATAAGTTTTAAATTAGAGAAAAGTTGAATTTGAATTTGTAAATGACATGGTGAGGGGTGTGGATTTGTAGTTGAGTTAGCTTTGAATCAGAAGAATTTTGTCCAAATCCAAATCCAAATTTTTATGTTCCCAATCAAGTAATTTGGATCAAATCTGGATTTAAAATCCAAATTCATGTTCCCAAACACACCATAATGGAAGTTGGTACTCCGTATAGAAAGAATAGTGCAGTAGGCTTATGATCTTGATGGAAAATTAAATAAAAATTGTATGGTTTATTCAATGCCGGGTGTAAAAATGAATTTGTAAGATTTATTTCGTGTTGAATTTTCAATGGGTCGAGTGAATCGGACGAAGTACATACTGAGTGAGGTTAACCATTTTTCCATATAAAATTAGAATCCACTTTCAAACCAAAAAGTTAAGTCTTGTTAACCAACCAAGAGATCACAATGTCAAACATTACCTCCACCCAATTTTAAAAAAATTAATATTCACTTGCAAGACTCAAGTATGAACAAATCACACATGCACTTGATAGGGCGTGTTAGAGAATAGATACTTTCTTGGACCTACAATAACAAGCTTAAGTTTTTTGTTGACTTTGTTCCTTGACGTTTTCAAACAAATATTTTATGATTAATATGTAATGCAATTTTTATTTAACTGATAATTAATCTGTACTCTCTCCGTCCCTAAATATTTGTCACATTTCTATTGGTATAGAAATAAAAAATAAAATTTACATATCAAAAAACTACATGAAAAGTTCTTCGAAATAAGAAGTGTCAAGAATATTTTATTTTATCAAATAACCAGTGAAAACGTAGAAATAAACAAAAGTTTCCGCGACTTATGAAAAAGCAAGTGTGCCAAATATTTTGGGACAAAGGGAGCATTTAATTTGGTTGAAAAAATTAAACTAAAAAAATTTTTAAAGATTGAAAACATATTAAATAAGATATGAGTAAATTTACTCTTTTCAGTCTTTATCACTGATGAAATTTAGGATGAGATAGGGATAACTGGATTAGACAATAAGATACTTGAGTTGAATCACATTAAAAAATTGAATCCAATCGATTAGTTAGTTCAACTTAAGAGCTTATTACCGATTATTTTACTCTTTAACTTCTGATGTGGGATGACACTTTAACACTCTTTATCAAGTGGATAACCAAATCATTTTGAACCTAACCAGTTGACCACTTGCATATGAACTCTCTTCCCCCTCCCCCCCCCTTTTTGAGCACCAACACTTAAAGGACTACGAGGCGCTGGGTATCGACTTTCAGACGAGAAATCGTGTTAATTAAACAAGCCACAAACCATTGGGTACATACTTCATACGGACAATCGGCTAAAGACTAACAAGCCGCTAGGAATGAACGTCTAGACGGACACCTTGACAAACGAGGTGAGCCAAAACCTTCCTGATATCATGCCTAAAAGCCAACCCAATAAAAAACTCAAGGTTCTAGTGGTAATCGAGGAATGACTTAAGTTATTACTCTTTTCTTTCTATAACAGGAATGGACGAGCGTTGCAAGTGCACCTAAATCTCTAGTGTGTGAATAATAAACTTATAGTGTCATCACTAAGATGTACATGATCGTCTTTGAACACCGCCAACACCCCAAAAATATCACTTCGACGATTAAGTGTCATCCAATTTTTTTCGTAGAAGAAATACGTTACCTAGTGTCAAATGAATACTCGATGCATAATTTAAAATTAAGGGGAAATTTGAGGAATTTGACCCCAACCTTTTAGTTTTGAGGACACGCAATGATTGTTCATGTATGTGTAGTTTCTCCCTTTGGAGTCAAAATCTAAATTTTCTAAATAGTCTTTTGTAATTGTGTTTTTTCATATTCATTCCGGGCCATATTTATCAAGTATTGTATACATAGTTCTTATTAATTGTGTATCATTCTACGTTTGGTCCTCCGTATCTATTTCCATCTCTGTGCCGTTAGATAAGGACTAAACGTGAAATGATATCTAAACAGTAAGCACTACTATAGAATATACATTACACAGCGGATAAATATTGCTTTTCCCATCGGAAAACAGTCGCTATCCATGCAAGCGATGGGAAAGCTCTCATGTTTACACAGCGCATATTTATCCGATGTGTAAACTTTACGTAGCGCTTATTTATTCGATGTGTAAACTTTACACATCGGATAATATATGCGATGGGTAAATATTACACAGCGAATAAATATGCGTTCTGTAAACTTAACACATCGGATTAATATGCATTGGGTAAATATGGGAGCTTTCACATCGCTTGCATAGACAGCGACTGTTTTACACCTTACACAACGGACAAATAATATGCGCGACGTAAACTTTATATAGCGACAAAATATTCAATGTGTAACATGATGATGTTTAAGCATTAAAACTTCTTTACCATCGGATGAATAATTTTTTAATGAGAAAATATATTTATTTAATGTGCAAGATTGGAATATATAAAACAAAACATATTTTATTAAAAAAGTATAAAATAAAATACATGAGGGGAGGACCAAACCAAAGCCCCTCCATAAATAGCAAGAATGTAACATAAGTTTAAAATGAGCCAAATAACTAATGCTTGCTAAAATATACTCCCTCCGTCCGGATTTCAAGTATCCATTTTGACTTTTGGTCATTTTTATTGGGTGTTGACTTTGGAAAGGAAATGTCTAAAATACCCTTATCCCCTTCCCCTTCCCCTTCCCTTTTATCTCAACACCACCGTTACCTCCACCCGACCCATCGACCCAACCCACACCACCACCGTCACCTCCACCCGCCGCACTCCCACTGTCACTTGCTCCAACTCCATTGCCGCCCCAACTCCCACTACCACCAGCCCCACTGCCGCACCCAGCCTATCATCACCGTCGGCTCACCATCGCCGCCACACCATCGCCGCCGGCAACCCCGCATAAATGAATTTTCAGATTTTTTTAGATCTGAAAAAAACAAACGAGATCTAGCAGAAGAAAATGACAAAAAGAAGAAAAAGAAGAGAGGAAGAGAGAGAGGGGGGAGATGGAGGCTAGATCTAGCCAGAAAAGAAAGGGAAGAAGGAGGAAGATAACGAGGAGAAGAAAATGAAGGGGGAGAGGAAGAGAAAAGAAAGATTGGAAGAAGGAGAAGGAAGGAAGAGGAGGAGAACGAGAAGAAAAAGAATGGGGAGAGGAGAGAGAGAGAGAGAGAGAGAGAGAGAGAGAGAGAGAGAGAGAGAGGAGGAGGTTACC